CGGGCCTGTTTGCCAATTGATTTTCAAATGCAACCGATGCACATGATAATACCAGGACAAGATATTTCTTTTATAACAGAATTTGTTTGAAAAGGATGTTATCTAAGGACTAGGTGAAAAATATATATGTTATTTGAATTTAGATTAACTCATATTCAAGAATCATTATCAAGACATACATTTACTGACAGAATCAAAGCGTGCTTTTACTCCATCAATTGCTGACAAAACTGCAAAAAAAATTCTTTGAAGTCAGATACATAATGTTAATAATAATAATAATAATAACAATAAAACAGCATACCAAATAAAATAAAAGAAACTTTGATGCGAACCTGAGATTGCAGGGGTAAGGATGCCATCGCCAATTAGCATGCACATTCCTAAAATAGCAACAAAAAGCAGCACTCTTCGGGCAACTATACTTTCCTCAAAAAATTTCACAAGCCTACTTCTCCTTTCAGTGTTTTCAGACAAGATCGAGTTTGAATTAGCACGGTTAGAAGAAAGGATTCCAATATTCATTTTCTTACAAAGCAATGAATACAATGCAAATGTTCCTCCTGCAGTCAATAAGTTGTAGGGAATAAGTTGTCTGCCCCAATCAGAGTTCATAAACTGGAGTATTTTAAAGAATAAACATAATTGAAAGGACCTTTTCATGATAACTTGGTTTGCATGTTGAACGAAACTAAAGCGCTCAAGAGTTTTGATTATAAGGATCAAAATATAAATAAATTAATCAGATTAAGTATATTGTCAGCAAATTAAATAAACAGAATTGCAAATCCAACAGATTCAGGAACTCAGAATCACAGCCAGCTTACTGATGCTTGGCAATGCAATTTCCACAGGGCATAAATAGAATATATATAGAAAAACATTTTGAAAATAAAATTAAAAAAAAAAAAAATGTTTGGTCACCTAGGCTTAACAAAAAGCGTCCAATATAGGTCCATGACCAAATGACTCTTGCTATTATCCTTTTTAATTAGAGACTCCAAATATCAGGATAAGTTGTTTCAAAAAGCTAACTTTTTCCCATTTTTTGGCCAGCAGTGAAGTTAAAAAATTTGATCAAATTCTATATTTTATCTTACCAGAATCAAATTCTATGTATTAGAGGACCTACTTATGATCAAATTCATTAAATTAAATGATATTTCAAATTAGATTAAATTCTACATATCATCATATCCCTAAGTTCTCCAAAAGTGACATCCCTTATATTGGTTACTAGAAGATTTTAGCTTATGATCTTAGCTAGAATAAGCTTTTCTCAAAAGAAATAATAATAATAATAATAATAATGATCAAAGAAAACAAATGAGAACAAAATACAAGACAGCTATTTGCTTCTTGGCCCCAACATAACCACAAAGAATTGGAATATAAGAAATGTACCTTCTCCTTGATCATCTGCTTTAAGAGCTATGCCACAATACTTGACAACCCCAATGAGAGTAAGAGTCCAAAACATGATGCTAAAGATTCCCAAATACTTCTCTTCAGTGGGAGATTTCAAAGGCATTGATGGATATACATATAAAGGAGATGTTACAAGCCCTCCAAATACAACTCCTAGAGTCTTATATGCAAGTACCACATTGCCCCATCCACCAACATTCTGCTTTTAAACAATTTATGAGAAATGAAACTGATGAACTTTAAGAAAAAAATCAAATAACATTGTAAAAACTTTGTATTTCAATCCTAGGATGACAATAATTTCCAAAAAGCTGAAATCATCTTAAAAAAAGGGAAATGAAATATACATCCCGTAAAGTTACACTCCATCGCACAGACTAACGGTTTTCCTTACTCATGCCATTAAAACTTATGGTTTCCATTAGTTTTGTTGTTAAAATTAATGGTTTTGCATTGGTTGTTTTCGTCAACCGTCAAGATGTAACAGAATGTATAACTATATAAGGTAGAAGGGTATATGTATCATTGTAATCTTGATAATACCACAGCATCTTCAATAAAACTTAACCAAAAAAAAAAAGCAGCGACCAATGTATATAGGCTATATATGCCTTTACATGTAGTAGACAAGTGCAGAAGGAAAATAAAATGCGAAGAACAATTAATGGCGTGATAAAAGCGAAGTATAAAACTTGTTCTCTAGGGGGTGTACCATGGCGTAGCTTTTCTGATGGAAAGGAAGATGGCGGTGATGACGGCGGCCTCTGTTTTCAGCTGAATCAGTAACCACTTACGTACAGCTAGGTTGCCTCTGAAGATTTAGGTGTCCCAAGTTTCCTTTCCCATCTCTCCGGCTGACGGCTGTATATGTAGTCCAAACCATTTGCAAGATAAAAGCCGGAAAGAGTACTTTGGCTGCGCCTTATTTTGAGCCATGTGGTTGTGTCGGTCCAATTTAAAAATACTCCAAACTCAAATTCATTTTTAAATAAATAAAGTTGGGTTCCATGAAACTTTAATTAATTAAAACCCAAAAATTGTTAAAAACTCTAATTTATCACAATTATCTATTACATCATCACATGGCAACACTCAAAAATATTCCCTAAATAAGAATCAATGTATCATATTATAATTAATTATTTTTCAATTGATTTAAAAAAATTCATGACAGTTCAATCCCCATTATAAACATATAATAATATTATTTTAAAAAATTATTAATTGTGATGTAAACAATAACAATAGATAGTTTTTGACTTTATTGTAAAGCATGAGTTAACAAAAGTTATAAATAAACATGTGATAATATTATTTTAAAAAATTATTAATTGTGATGTAAACAATAGGAATAGATAGTTTTTGACTTTTTTGTAAAGCATGAGTCGACAAAAGTTGTAAATAAACATGTGATAATATTGTTTTAAAAAATTATTAATTGTGATGTAAACAATAGGAATAGATAATTTTTGACTTTTTTGTAAAGCATGAGTCGACAAAAGTTGTAAATAAACATGTGATAATATTGTTTTCAAAAATTATTAATTGTGATGTAAACAATAGGAATAGATAGTTTTTGACTTTATTGTAAAGCATGAGTCGACAAAAGTTGTAAATAAACATGTGATAATATTGTTTTAAAAAATTATTAATTGTGATATAAACAATAGCAATAGATAGTTTTTGACTTTATTGTAAAACATGAGTTGATAAAAGTTGTAAATAGTATTCTTAAATAGTAAAACTTGTGTATTTTCTTTCTATCTGTATATATACAAAATAGATATTTTTTTCTTACATAAGGTAAATTAAAAAGCTTATTATTAATTGATTTAGTGATCATTTTATAAAAAAAATAGTGTTTAAAACATTAAAATTTTGAATTCAATTTCAGACAATTCGATCCCCGCT